AGCTTAATGAGTTTTTCTTCTCCACATTTACTTGCTTTCCCCTACCCCCATTCGTTTGTTTTTCAGAATCTCAATCTCTTTGCTGAATTTCTAATCCATGTTGCTGATTTTTTTCATGAAGATCTTGAATTAACTTCCTTACTTTATTCAACTGCTTGTTTGGATCCTCTTTAAGGTCAGCAATCATTTTTTAAAGTAGATTTTTGAATTTTTTTGTCCAGTATTTCAGCCATCTCAGTAACTTTGGATTTGGCTGTTGAGTAGGTTTGGGCTTTTATTTGGGGGGGATGGGTAATGTGGTCACATATTGCCTTGCTTTTTCATACTTCTTATATTTCTAGGTTGTGATTTGAACATCTCTTGGGATAGATTCCTATTCAAATTTTATTCAGTCCTTTCTTGATGGCTCAATCTCCTATACCACTCAAAGAACTTAAAATAAACTGCTACAGCAGTAATAACTATTGTTCTGGTACAGTACAAGGACCAGGCTGATCAAGACTAAGTAGTCTGCATCAGTGCTGCATTTGCATTAGAAGCTTTCATTCTTCAAGTTTCCCTCCTTACGCTGCTAGGAGCCTGCAGCCTGTGGGCTGGCAGCTTCCTTCTTGGTCCATACTCCCTGGTTTGTGTACACAGGGATGTAAAATGTCTCAGTATACAAAAGCAGGAAGAAAAACAGCCCTGACATGTGTCTGCCCGCAGGTCTCCAAGACTTCTGCACAACAGTAAGTCATCTATGAAAGGGATGAAGCCAGGAAAACAGAGTGATGTGCTGGGCTCAGAGCTCTCAGTTCTAACAACCCTGGCAACACCTACACTCCACAGACAGGCAGCTCCAAAGTGCAATGGGGTTGGCTCTCTTAGACTTAACAGTGATAGACAGAGAGGCAACAGTGAGTGGAATCATCAAAACCTCTCCCTTAAGAGCCTGTGCTTCTTGATTTCTAGACTCTTCCCTAGGTCAAAATACAACTCTCTCAACTCTCTCCCTCCCCATCACTGCCTCTCCTGGTAGTCCCACCCAAACACCCAAAAACTATGCTGTTACTCCTTGTTTTCAGGTAGTCAGTTGCTCAGAGTAGCTTGTAGCTTAGAGCTCTGAAGACAGTACTTGACTATAGAAACAACAAAATGAGCTTCCCCAATGGTGGTCTATAATGGAGTTTCATTGTCACACCAAGTCTCAGAACTGGCTTTAACATTTGTGAGAACTGTTAGCTTGCCCTGTGTATAAGATTCCCAGACTCCTGACCCCCAGGGAGCTGGAGTCCGTGCTAACCAATTGTTTCCAATTTCTCTCTGGGTTGCCTTTCTATTTTTCTATGGCTCTTCCTCTGTCCTGTCATCTCTTTCCTTATGCTATTCATATATATATATATATATATATAATATATATATATATATATATATATATATACCTAAGACAAGGTAATGTAAAGTGGTTTATTCAGCTCTGGAAGCACCAGCATCTCCTCATTCTGGTGAAGGCCTCATGGCAGAAAGTTCATTAGGATGGTGGGAAGACATGCAGAAGTTACGGAAGTTATATGATAAGAAAACAAAAAAAGCTAGAAAACCTTAGGGGTCAGACTCATAAGTCACTTTGTAAGGCCAACCTTCACTTTCAACGGCAGTGCCCTCCATGACCAAATCACCTTGTGGCAGCCCCATCTCAAGGATTCCAATATCTCCAGTGATCTCCCAGAGTCACCACAGGGATGACCAAGTCATCTAATACATGAACCTTTGGGGATACATTCAAATTAAGCCACACAAAGTAAAACAAGTTGATTCCTAAAATAAAAACTGGAACCACCTCAGAAAAGAACCCCAAAAAATGAGAATGAAAACTAATTACCAGGAAAATTCTTGGCATTTCAAAAACCTTTGTAATGTATGTATGCATATTGATTGGCTTTTATACCAACCTATTAAATTTTAAGTGAAAAAAATCTGTTGTTATTTAAGAGAAAATGTAAAAAGGGGAGCTCTAGTAAGAGAACACTTTAATATATTTTTTTAAAAAGAATTCTAAGGAGGAACAATAAGCAGATATTTCAAGTAGAGAAAAGCTGTGGGTTTCAGGGATGCATGACAGAAAAGGAACTTCCCCCTAAAAGACTCATCCACAGAAGTCTGCTCCTCTATTAAAAAATGAAAAAAGAGCCGGGATAGAGCTTAGTGGTAGAGTGCTTCCCTGACATGCATAAAAGCCCTGGTTTAATCCCCAGAACCATGCACACACACACACACACACACACACACACACACACACAAAGGTGATAAAAGGAAAGAAAGAAAAAACAGAAGGGAATGAAGGGAGGAGAAAGGAAAGAAGGAAGAGTCATAATTTAGAATTACAGAGATATTTATTACTGAGATAAACACCCCATCCTCTGAAGCCCTCAGATAGACCCCCAAAAATACAGTACCTGTATAATACTTAAATAATCAGTAATACAGTTCTCTGGAAACTAATCTTGCTTCTCACAGTGAACCTTAGATTGTTTGCAGAAGGAAGAAAAATTAATGGTAAGAAAGGTCTTTTTTGTTTTTTGTTTTTTTCGGTCATGGGGCCTGAACTCTGGGCCTGGGCGGTGTCCCTCAACTCTTCAGCTCAAGGCTAGCACTCTACCACTTGAGACACAGTGCCACTTCCAGCTTTTTCTGATTATGTGGTGCTGAGGAATCAAACCCAGGGCCTCATGAATGCAAGGCAAGCACTCTATCACTGAGCCACCTTCCCAGCCCCGGTAGGAAAGTTTTTATATCAATAGAAGATACATATTGAAAAAGTCTTATAATTAGGAAGAACAGAAGACTGATGATGAGAGCCAAGAAATGAATACCCTTATGCAGTGAAAGAGCTGGGGAGCGCTGAGTAACAATGTGACAGTGGAATCCAAATGCTCTGAATCAACACTATTTTTTTTGTCAATCATGGAGGTTGATCTCAGGGCCTGGACTCTGTCCCTGACCTCTTTTGCTCAAGACGAATGCTCTACCACTTTGAGTCAAAGTATCACTTCTGGCCAGGCGCTGGTGGCTCATGTCTGTAATCCTAGCTACTCAGGAGGCTGAGATCTGAGGATCACGGTTCCAAGCCAGCTGGGGTAGGAAAGTCCGTGTGACTCTTACTTCCAATAAACCACTAGAAAACCAGAAGTGGCACTATGGCTCAAGTGGTCCAGCGCTTGCTTTTAAGAGCTGAGGAACAGTGCTCAGGCCCAGAGTTCAAACCCCATGACCACAGAAAAAAAATCAGCACTTCTGGTTTTCTGGTGGTTAATTGGAGATAAGAATTTCAGAGACTTTCCTGCCTGGGCTGTCTGTAAACCACAATCCTCAGATCTCAGCCTCCTGAGTAGCTAAGATTACAGGTGTGAGGCACCAGTGCCCAGCTTGAAAAACTCTTAACCCACTGCAAAGAGATGAGCTGTATCATATGTAGACCAACACACTGCTATCTGCCACTTACACTGTGCTTTTGCCTTCCTCTTCTCTGCCTCCATTTATATGTATTGAAGCAATCCTTCTTTTTGTATGTGTCTAGCTACAGAAGTTCTGTTTGGAGACATGTATTATGAGCCATTTGTCCACCTGAAGATGGTTGAAATATCAAGGCCCTTTTCTGACTGAGAAAAACAAGGATATTGTTTACAGAAGGCCACTGTTCTTAAATTCACAAGGAGTAAGAGTTCCAAAGGCTTTGCCTCTCTTATTTGGGGAGATTACTATGTCATCTATTTGTTACCTGGAGAAACAAAGGGCAGCCTAAGGAACTACAAAAAAGACAAGTAAATTTTGAATGGAAAACAGTGGCTCAGGCCTATAATCCTAGCTTTTCAGGAAGCTGTGATCCGAAGACAGTAGGTTTGAAGCCAGACCTAGTAGGAAATTCTATAAGACTCTTATCTTCAATTAACCACCCAAAAGTACAAGTGAAGCGGTGCCTCAAGTGGTAGAGCACTAGGCTTGAGCAAAAAAAAGCTCAGGGGCAGTGCCCAGGCCCAAGATCAAACTCGAGGACTAACACACACACACACACACACACACACAACCACCTCCAAAAGCTGTGCACTGGTGGCTCATGCCTGTAATCCTATTCAGGGAGGTGGTATCTGAGGACAGTGGTTCAAAGCCAGACTGAGCAGTAAAATCCATGAGACTCTTATCTCCAATTAACCACCATAAATTCATAAATGGAACTGTGGCTCAAAATGGGGGGGGGAATAGTAGGAGAAAAACAAAGGAGGGGTAACAATGCTCGTCAAGAAATACACTCATTGCCTTTCTGATGCAACTGTAACCCTTCAGTACAGCATCTTTACAAGAAAATAATTTATTTTTTAAAAAGTGGTAGAGCGCTAGCCTTAAGGGAAAGAGCTCAGGTACCGCACCCAGGCCTTGAATTCAAGCCCCGGGACCACCAAAAAAAAAAAAAGACGCCGGGCGCCTAGAATCCTAGCTACTCAGGAGTTCAAAGCCAGCCCAGGCAGGAGAGTCCGTGGGACTCTTATCTCCAATAAACCACTAGAAAACCGGAAGTGGCGCTGTGGCTCAAGTGGTAGAGCAATCGCCTTGAGCTAAAGAGCTGAGGGACAGCGACCAGGCCCAGAGTTCAAGCCCCACAACTGACACAAACAAAAAACAAACAGAAAACTCCTCAGAGTGGGTAAAGTTCATTCTTACACTGACTAAATAATTAAGACTCACAGCCAGGCTGTTGCGTGGTTGAAAGCCATCTACCCACTACCTTAACAGCCTTCTGGCCAGCTCTGCAACCCAGGCAGGAACTCAGCTAAGAGGTTCCCGTGAGCGGGCGGGGCTTCCTGAGACCCCGCCCCCTCCGAACGGTCAGGCCCTCTTAAATCTCCTAATTCCGGCTTGCCCGTCGCCACAAGTCCCGCCCACTTCGCCTGGACCAATCAAATGGTAGGTTGCTGAGCTCGCGGGCCAATGCACAAAGCTGTTTTTGATGCGTCCCTGCAGTTTGAAACTGTCAGGTTGTTGCTCAGGTAGCCCCGGGCTTGCTGTGGTCTCGGTGGCGCCGCGCGGCCTGGACGGAAGCGGGGACGAGAGCGGAGAAGGTGGGTAGCGGCGCCCCGGCGGCCCCGCAGCGCTGGCCGGGGTGCTGCAGCGGGTTTCCCCTGGCTCGGGGGAATCCCGGCCGTGCCGGACGGTGGGGGGAAAGGCCGGAGTGCTGGGTGCTAAGTAAGAACAGCCACGACCGAGCCACGCGTGAGCCGAGTACGTTGTGTGCATTTGTAAATTTCACAGGGAATTTACGCTCACGTCTAACCAGGTGTGTGTTATTATTCACGGTGAAAACAGAATTGCATTGCCTGGTGAGGGGAGGAATGCTTAATCGCAACTGCTTCCGATCCTGTGGGGAGGGGCTACCTGCCCCCTCTCCTGGGCCTGCTGCAGCCGGACCTGTGAGGGCCCAGGGGAGGTCGCCCTGCAGCGAGTTTGCACCTTTCCTTCACTCTTCCTCTGCTTCTTGGAGCTAACACTGAATCTCCAGAGCCCTTTTCCTTTGTCAGCCATTTAATCACCCAGACGTGGCATCTCTGGCCCAGCGAATCACCCCAGGCTTTTTATCTGTGCTTTCTAATAGGTTAGAGAATGTGAAAATTGGGAGGAGTAAAGCGAGTTTCATCTTCCTGTTTGGTTTCTGAACCTAGAGACAGTAAGGGGATGCTTACTGTTGCAGAGTTTCCAATTACTTTTTATACCTTATCACCCACAAAGCAGGGAGGATGGCAGACAGAATATTTTACCAAAAAAAAAAACAAAACAACTGTTTCATGTCTGCAGTATCCATATTTAAGAAACAAGTTTTGAGATCACATACTTAACTCATTTGGTGTGGGGGGTGGGGAGGATCTTTTTTAAAATCATCAGTATCACTTCACTCCGTTACCTACCAGGTCTGTAAACAAATCTTAAAGGAAGCTGTGAATGACAAGCTAAATGGACTGAGATACCACAGTTGTAGCATTGAAGTTATGGAAGCAGCCAGTCCTTGTTACAGATAAATGCTTATTTTATCCTCCTTAATTGGCTTAAGTAAAGACTGTCAGGTGGAGATTAGTTTACTTATCCTTTGTTTGCACAGTAATATTACTGAAAAAAAAAGAAATTTCCTTCCCACAATGTAGCTGTACCCTGTGTTTCCATTCCAATATTGCACTTTCTCCTATGTAGAGCCTTTCTACTTCAGTTTACTTATGGCCATTTATTTTCAGCCCACTGTCTTTGAGACCTGTCTCAACTTCAACTAAAATTGTTCAAGCAGATGTCACAGCAACTTCCTGATTGTCAAATGCAAGACAGAATTCATTCTGACTTTCCTCCTCCCCACCCAGCCTAGGTTGGCCTGGAATTTAAGATCCTCTGTCTCTGCCTTATATATACTGGGATTCAAGATGTATGTCACCATGCACAGCTTTGTTTGCCCTTTAGGTGTAAGGGGTTATGTTTTCAATTATTTTCTCACAACAGTAGTCCTTAACATTATAGGAGTTATCATCTCAAAGCACACATTGGAATCTAAAGATCTTTCTAGAAAAAGACCAAACTTTTTAATATGACAAAATAATATTCCATGATCTGACTTTGACTTATCTTGTCATTTCCTTCTTAGCAAGTCTTACCATAGCAGCTTCTTGCTGTCTTTAGCATACATGCTTTGCACATATCTGCTTGTGCTGCTTTTCTGCTAGAATATCCTTCTCTTTGGCTCATCTCAGGATAGAAACATGCTCATCTTTCAGATCTCAGGACCATCTTTTCTGTAAAATCTTTGGCTCCTTTCCCCTATACAATCACCTCCCATGAAAATGTCTACTTCCTTGGGCCCCAGTGGTTCACCTGTAATCTTAGAATCTCAGGAGGCTAAGATCTGAGACTCATGGTCTGAAGCCAGCTGGGGCAGGAAAATCCATGAGACTTTTGTCTCCAATTAACTACCAAAAAGCTAAAAGTGGGGCAGTGGCTAAAGTGGTAGAGTGCTAGCTTTGAGCACAAAAGCTCATTGACAGTACCCAGGCTCTGTGTTCAAGCCCCAGAATTAGCACACACATGAAATATAAATTATATATACATATATACACATATATACTATACAAAATACTATATAAGTGATCAGATATATAATATAGTATGTGTATATATAACTGCCTTTTGTACTGATTTTAAAGCCTTTCAAAGAAGCAACTTCATTTTATAAGTCTTTCTTAGTGTTCTAACATGTAACTAACTCATGTCCAGATAATTTGAAGAGTCGTTATTCATCTTCGAAATTAGTTTGGGAGTCCTTAGAACTTTGAATAATCTATGAACACAATGTGAATCTGTTGTTCTTATTAACCTTACTTTTGCTTAAAGCAATATTGTCAAAAGGTAAGTTTCCTGAGTTCAGTCTCTCTTGATGTACTGTGTCACTTGAAAGTACAGTCTCCAAGTTGCCGCACACTCAACAACAGTGATCACAACATCTTTCCTCAACATACCATTAGGGATTTTCTTCCAAAGCATTTTAATCTTTCATGTATTTATCCCATCTCCTTGACTGCATTATAAACTCACTTATGTTGAGATTGAGTGTTTCAACTATTTTTTTTTCCTTGCGCAGCCAATTTTGCCTATAGGTACTCAATGTTGAATGAATGATTGTTTTCATATATAATATGAAAATTGTTTATAGTAGAGAGCTATTGGATTTATATGTATTTAAAAAGCATTTTATTAGACCATTCATAAATGTCATTTTTGTGAAATGAATTTTTTCCTGGCCAAGAATCAAATAGTCATTTAAAAACATATTGTTTTCTTGCAAAATAAAGGAAGCTTAAACAACTAAAAAAATTTTTTTAATTATTTTTGTTTGAATACCAAGGGATAAAACTAAAGTCAACTTCTACTGTTTCATAATGTTTGTGTAGAATGTCATCAGATGAGGACAGATACTCCCTTCCACCTGTGCAAAATGACTCGGATCATGGCAGTTCTGTCTCTACAAGCCTTCAGGTAGGAAGACATGTGTACATTTAAGAAAGTGATTATTCCTAGAAAACCACAGTACATTTTTCATTGCTTCATTCTGTTTATAATGGAGTCTCCATTTACAGTAACACCAAACTTTGGGGATTACTTCATGTATTTTGGGAAACCTTTACATTGTTTTAACTGTTCAAAAAATAGACATGAATTTATCTTTTCTTTGTTTTTCTTGGCATTACTGGGCTTTGAATTCAGGGCTTCATGCTCACTAAACAGGTACTTTATTGCTGAGCCACACCTCCAGCCCCTTTTTCCTCTGGTGATTTTTTGCATAGGGTCCTACTTCCTACATGAGTGTATGTCTGGATCACAATCTACCTGTTTAATAATAAACTCTTTAATCCTTTTTGGTCAAAAACTCACTAACACAATAAGAAGAAAAGCATTTAGCTGCTTCTGAGGACTGGTATTTTCACTTTAATGCAAATGAATGCAGTATCAAACCATCCAAAGTTATAGAACCCAAAGTTCTCTTACATTATTCTTAACGAGGTTCTAATCCCTGTTACCACAACACTCAGGACAGGCTGTTACCAAGACCTGGACACTGGCAGGTAAGTTGGATAAATTGACTATAGAAGTTATAGTTTTTATGTGGAACATTTTAATTCTTTTCTTTCAAAAAGTTGCATCATCATAAATACAAATTCAGATCTCTGGAGATTTAAAATGAGAATTCTAACATGATATAGCTTAAGTTTTTAGTTGTATCAGTTAATAGGAGGAAATCTGGACATTGTGTTTATGCTTAAGTGTAGTTGATACTGTATAATAAAGTAGGAAAATATTTTTATGAAACAGATTATTTTCACTGAAATTATGTATTTAGACATTGGAATGGCATTGGGAAAATATCTGAATTTTACTAGGATAAGTTAGTCTGGAATTATGATGTTGATATTTCACCTTGGCTTTCCCTTTTTTATGTGTTTATTATTATAAAGGTGGTGAACAGAGGGGTTACATTTAGATAAGGCAGATAAAGAGTATATTTCTTTTTATCACCCCTTCCTTGCTCTTTCCTAGTTTTTCCCTCTTATCCCCACCCACAAGTTATGTAGTTCATTTTCAGCTTAGTGTCTAGTAAGTACCACTGCTGCATTTGTTCATCCTTTGTCCCATAATTTGTATGCCTTCTCTTACTCTCCAAAGACAAATGAACAAACAAGACAAAAAGAAAATAAAAAACATCATCAAAGAAAAAAAACTCATTTCCATTCCCTGGAGTTCATTTTGATAAATATTATTTTATATGATCAGATGCACATAGATAATTCAACCTTTATGTTCCTTTCCTAAGAATATTTTCCTTTGGTCTTGCCTTCCATTTTGACGGTCCCTATACCATGCCGTTCTGTCTTTTGAGGCTACATTGCTTTCCCTGCACCCTATTATCTATGCTATTTACAGACTTTTTTCAAAAACTAATGAAGTCATTTATACTGAAAGATGAACACTCCATAAGGTCTCAAAATGACATTTGTTCTAGAGACAAAGCATCACATCAAAAGAATAAATTAGATATGAGTATGTAGTTCATACAAAAACAAAAATCTGGAATTTAAGAGAAATTAAGGGAAGAACTTCTAGACCTTTCAGAAGTTATTTTGTGGTATTAATTATCTGCTTTTAATGTCAGTCCAAATGAGTCTTTTATTAGTAACCCTCAACTCATGACCCTACTGGTTCGTGTATGTATATTTATCAATACTACAGCTTGAACTTAGGTCCTGTACTGTTCCTTTCCTTTTTCATTCAAGGCTGGTGTTTTATCACTTGAGCCACAGCTCACTTCTGGCTTCTTGGTGGGTTAATTGGAGATAACAGTCTCATGGACTTTTCCTGCCTAGGCTGACTTCAGACAATTATCCTCAGATTTTAGCCTTTAAATACCTAGGATTACAGGTGTGACCCACCATCGCTTGGCTCCTAGTGGTTCTTGAACTAAAGTGATATCTTCTCTTTCCTTAAGATGCAGTATTATTATTTGGGATTCCAGAACTAGAAACAAAATTGACTGAAAGTATAGTTCATGTTTAGAGCAAGAAAGCTAAATGAGTGCTCAAGGTCCTGAGTTTAGGCCATGGTATTGCTGATCTCCTCTACATACACACACTAAATAAAATAATAAAAAAAGTAAAATAAATGTTAAAATTATATTTAAAATAACAAAATAATATCTACTTTTATATGTATAATAAATTCAGAGTCCAAGCCGGGTGCTGGTAGCTCACGCCTATAATCCTAGCTACTCAGGAGGCTGATATCTGAGGATTGTGGTTCAAACTCAGCCCAGGCAGGAAAGTCTGTGAGACTCCAGTTAACCACTAGAAAACTGGAAGTGGCCCTGTGGCTCAAATGGTAGAGCACTCGCCTTGAGCTGAAGAGTTGAGGGGTAGCACCCAGGCCCAGAGTTCAAGCCCCATGACCGACATAAATAAATAAATTGTAAGTCCAAACATTGGCTACAAACACCAATCATAAATTTAATGTTTTATGACTCACATATACGTAGTCTAACTGACTTTTAAAATCTTTCTTTAAATTAAGTTAGAATATCCATGATTGATATATACCCATTTATTTCTTCCTCTTTAAGTTTTACTGATTTCTGTGGGAACTTTGTAATATGTCTAGATATTTCCTTCTTTCTGTTCTGATCTAGGAAGTCAGACCAGGGAAGCCACAATGTAAAGCCACTGACTTCTACTTTCTCCTCCCTGTAAGTTAGGGGTAGTAGAATAAGCTAACACTGACTAAGCCAAATGTATTTGGCTAACTCTTGTTGTAATTACTACCAAAGAGAAAAGATCCTAAAACGTTGTGGTGGCTTTCAAAATATAAAAAAGCCATCATGTTAGTCTATTCGATTATCCCAACAAATACCATAGAATTGGGGGCTTCAACAATAGAAATCTCTTTTCTCAGCTAAAGTCCCAGGTCAGGACCCAAACAAAATCAGTTTCTGGCCAGAGCTCTCTTTCTGGCTTACATGTGGCCTTGGTGTGGTATGTGCTTGAGAGAGTGGCCTGCTGTTTCTTGTAAGAACATTAATCCTATCTGATGAGGGCTACAGCCTGTGACCTTATTTAACCTTAATTATTTCTTTGGAGCCCTCATCTCTAAACACAGCTGCACTGGCTATTAGGGCTTTAACATAAATCTTAGAGAGACTCCAATATTCAGTCTATACCAGCCACACTTCTATATATTCTTAACTAAAATAAAAATTTACTGTGGGCTAAGCACATGGCTCAAGTGGTAGAGCCCTTGTCTAGCAAGTATGTTAAGTCAAACCCTAGTAACACCAGAAAGAAACTTACTTTGATTTTTTTTTTCAAAAATGTAACTGTTGTTTTAGTTGCTTTAATAAAATGCAAGTAAAAATGTCTTAGGTGAATACCTTGGAGTTTAATTCTAGTCTAAGCTGGTACGTGGTCCAGAGCTCAGCTTAAAGACCTGTCTCTTCTCTTCTGGTCATCTGCTGTGCCCAGGATTGATTGTATTTGTATTGAGAAGTGTTGGCTTACTACCACTCCTAGCCCATGGGGAGAGGAACTAGGCCTGCAGTTGTTAATATTCAGATCAGGTCTGGCTACAAGGGGAGCTAGGAAATGTAGCTAGGTAGCCTTCTGCTCAAACTAAACCTTACCATAAGAGAGTAATACACGACATTTTACATAGTTTGTTAGGACCAACTCACACATTTGGTTTCTAGGAACTGGAGAATACTTTGGGTAGGACTCCAACTTACAGAACTATTCAGAACTTTATTTCAGTACTCTTGAAAAACTAATACTGTAAATATTCTGTCAACATAAAATTTAAAAGTTTCGTGATGTTCTAAATGATCTTTTTTCTATTATGAGCCTTCTGCATCAGTGATAACCATGATGCAAAATACTGACTTTGATTTCCATCAAGAAATGTTACCTTACAACTCATGTAATTATTGTCAGGAAGGGGACATCATTAACAAAATTGATCGTTGCAGTATGAAGGGGCCTATATGGTGGTTATCTCTTCTAAAGGTTCTCTTTCAAATATCTGTGATTCCCTTCTGTCATTAGCCTTAATACGTACTGAAAATTTGTATCTGTTACATCTGATAAGTAGTACATACAAATATGCAGGTTAAGGAAGTAAATTTAAGTTGAAACTCAAACCAAGTCATTTTTTTACATTTAGTTGCCTAGAAATTTTCAGACAGAATAGCACAAACCCATACTTTAAACAGTTTTACTTAAAATTCCAATATAAAAAGCAGATTAAATAGCACTATAATTATATAGATTTATATTTTAAACTCAAATTTGTGACATTTTCTTCTAACAAGGTTAACAAAAATTAGCTAAGGTACTTTGACAAATGTATTTTATTTTTTTTTGGGGGGGGGGTCCGGTCGTGGGGCCTGTACTCTGGGCCTGGGCGCTGTCCCTCAGCTCTTCAGCTCAAGGCTAGCACTCT